CGACATTTAAAAAAAAATACTTAGGAAATATAAAAGATATGATTATATAACCTTAAAAGACAGATTTGTATCATTTTGTGGTTGTAAGCACATTGAGATCACCAGTAAAATCATCAACGCCACCACAACAGATGGCAGCACTATAGCATAAATTTCCCCGTTGCTGATATCATCAGGAAGGTACTTTGCACAAAATCCACATAAAATAGCAAGTATACCTATAAAAAACATAACCTATTATTACACCTTCTTAATATAATAATTCATAAATTCACATACAATAAAAACCAACTTGTATTGTGACAATAAATTCACTCTTCTCCGTTGGGCGTTTAACACTTCCACTGTTCATCAACACACTGAACCATCCGCCATTTTGTCCCAGGGACCCAACAGCATCGTCATCATAATCTGTGTGTATGTGCACCTTCCCAACGCTGACGGAATATCTCAAAATAAGAACACATGCAGCTACGATCGTATAAGCTAGCAATGTGCCAATTGACATCATGTCAATCAGTTGACCTTGGTCGAATAAACCCCCGATAATTCCAGTGAGAACTCCGGCAAGTATAGTGCCAATCATAGGCGTTGCAAATCTTGCGTTTACTATACCAAGAAAACGGAAAATAAGACCATCGTTAGCCATTGCGTAGATTATCCGTGGTAAAGGAAACATGGCGCCGAAGAGACTTGCTGAAAGGGCAAATAATCCTCCAATGGTGATTATCCATTTGGCTGTAGCCATACCATAAACATCAAAAGCATGTGGTAAAGGTGAATTGATATCCTTAAACATTTAAACAAAATAAATGTGAAGATATTTAAATTTGTACGTTTGGTTGCCTACCTGTTCGTAGTATGGTACCATTAACGTTACCACCGCAGATGTTCCACAGTACGCAATCAAACTTATACCCAGCGATGCCAAAATGGCAATTGGTATACTCCTTCGAGGATTCCTGGCTTCTTCACCAGTGGTAGCAATGCAATCAAAGCCTACAAAACCATAGAAACAAGTAGCGGCACCTTTTATCATTCCAGTCACACCAAAAGGAAAAAATCCACCTTTTCCTATACTGGAATCAGCACTTTTTGCAATTGTCCAATTACTCCATTGGGCTTTCATCCCCCCAGCGATAAAAACAAACATCACCACGGCTATATTCAAAATGGTGACGATGTTATTCAGATAGGAACTTTCTTTTACCCCTACAGCTAAACCAACTGTAAATAATAACGAAAACATTCAAAATTTTAATCGCCATTTTAATTTTTTTAATTTTTGAAAAAAAAACTTACGTGAGAGGATAATTGAGATGCCA